GCAGGCGTGCTGCTTCATGTGGCGCACCGGCTTCAGCGACTGCATCATCAGGGCCCCCTTGTCCACCAAGTAGGACTCCACCGTCGTGGGCTTTCCAGGGGGAGCGGAGCCTGGGGTGACGGACGACGGGGTCGGGGTCGGATTCTGGTCACTTGATGCCATGCCCACCGATAGCTTCCTCCGGTTCTGAATTTTGATGTGGAGGAGATGGCTGGGTCTTTGGGATTTTAAGGGGAAGGAGGTGAGAGGGAGAGGAGGGGCACGTGTCAGAGGCTGAGAACAACCAGAGGTGACACGTGCGATTGCATGCAGGAAAGAGCGGTGAGAGAGAGGCTAAGGGGTGAGATCAACACAACTATTACAAACTGCAAACTCGCTTAAAAAAACAAGAAGGCCAAATACATCATCAATATGCTTACCATATCATCTGACCGCAACAACTTGAAAATGACGTCAATGTCCTTGCAACATCAATCCCACATTTTCAATCTCCAAACCTCCACTGAAAAGAAAAACATGACCGTGCCAAAAAATGAACGAACCCAAATCAATCACAAGCCCTCCAAAAACTTAACACTCCCAAGCTCTAAAATTTACATCAACCCCAAGAAAATAATAAAACCATTTGTGAAAATGAATGCTTCAACAACATAACAAAGTAGTAATAATATCAATAATTTAGCAATGAATACTTTACACGTACAACAATCTTCCCCTTCTCAACCCCCAGCTTTGCTCCGGTAACCAACCAATGCCCAGGAGTATCCTGTGGCCCCTTCAACATTTCAGTTGAATCGACAATTTTCACAAGCTTAGAATTTTCCCCTGAGGAAGACGACGACGACGACTCATTCGCTCTCTGCGAAAGAGAAATATTTGGATTGTGATCCCAAACTGATCTCCTAATAGTACATCCAGGGATCCTTGAGAATAGAAGTTTAAGGTGAAGAACACTCTTAGCACTAAAATCCCAGACACCAAGTTGGGCTCCAGTGACAATGTAAACTCCAGAGAGGTCGCCGATGTTGGTTTCAGTGTACTCGATGGGTGAAGTGCTGACATGGGCGAAGTTCTTCCATTTGATCGGTTCGAACCATCGGCT